ACTTAAGGAAATGCTCAACATCCTTAGTCAACAGAGAAATGTAAATCAAAACAACTATGAGATTCCATCTTACACCTGTAAGAATGGCCAAGATCAAAACCACTGATGACAACTTATGCCGGAGAGGTTGTAGGGAAAAGGGAACACTTCTGCATTGCTGGTGGGAATGCAAGCTGGTCCAGCTACTTTGGATATCAGTATGGTGATTTCTCAGAAAATTAGGAAACAACCTTCCTCAAGACGCAGCAATACCACTTTTGGGTATATACCCAAAGGATGCTCAGTCATACCACAAGGACATGTGCTCAACTATGTTCATAGCAGCTTTGTTTGTCAGAGCCAGAACCTGGAAACAACCTAAATGTCCCCGACCAAAGAATGGTCGGGGAAAATATGGTACAGTTACACAATGGAGTACTACACAACAGAAAAAATAATGATATCTTGAAATTTGTAGGCAAATGGATGGAGCTAGAAAACATATTGAGTGAGGTAACCCAGACCCAGAAAGACAAATGTCATATCTACTCACTCATAAGTGGCTTTTTGACATAAAGCAAAGAAAACAAGCCTACAATTCACAATCCCAGAGAACCTAGACAACAACGAGGACCCTAAGAGAGACATACATGGATCTAGTCTACATGGGAAGTAGAAAAAGACAAGATCTCCTGAGTAAATTGGGAGCATGGGGACCTTGGGAAAGGGTAGAAGGGGAGGGGCGAGGAAAGGAGGGGAGTGGAGAAAAATGTAGAGCTCAATAAAATCAATTTAAAAAAAGAATGGCATTTATAAAACCTTGGGGGTCTGGTAATAGCTGAAACTATTTCAATAGCTGCCTTCCCATGATAGATGGAAGGGAAAACCATCCTGTGCTTTATAATGGAACAGGACTCAGGTACATGCAAAAAGAGGGGGTGAGTCTCAGGTCAAGGATGTTGACTGAATTGTACCGGAGAGATGGCTCAGAGGTTAAGAGCACTGGCTGTTCTTCCAGAGGTTCTGAGTTCAATTCCCAGCAACCACATGGTGGCTCACGACTATGTGCAATCTGGTGCCCTCTTCTGGCCTGCAGGCATACATGCAGACAG